CACACATACACACCTATATATATATTTGCTATTTCATCATAACCTAGTTAAAGATGTACATTATATTTACAACTTAACATGTTCTGTTGAGTTCCCTATTAATTTATTATTGTACATTGTACATTCTGTTTTGATAAATTCAGTATGCTCAGAGTGTTATACTTCAAGAGTCTCAAATCGTCTGTTACAATTTATAATGTTATTTAAATATAATCGTGGATTTCAACATCATTTGCAGCACCCTTTTCTTTGGAAAAGTCTTTGATCCACGTCACCCGTGTTCTGATGCTAAAGTAAAGCCTGTTCGCTTTTGTCATTCAAATGCTTCTCCCTGAAGCCTGCAGAGAGAGGCAGTAGAGGCTGAGTTCTTCTGTGCGCTGCTGGCAGGGGAAAAGCCAGCTGCCTGTGGTGCCGCAGCCAGGAGGGTCCTGTGTGGACAGGATGCCCGTCGCTAGGCAGAGCTGCCCTAAAGTCAAACCACCTCCTCTTCCTCCCCCTGACAGCTGTGCCTTTAGCGCGGTGTTGCTATGGTTATGTTATCCCTTCACTTCAAGCGAAGGTCCACAGCTCTATACTCATGTCAGCCACATAAACATCTTTGCAGCCTGCAAGCAGCATGACAGCTCAAATGATACCAAGTCCAGCTCCTACCTGCTACCCTGCACTCGGTAACCAGTTGCCATCGAGTTGACTCTGACTCACAGTGACCCCATGTGTGTCAGAGTAGAACTGTGCTCCATAGGGTTTTCCATGGCTGATTTTTCAGAAGTAGGTCACCAGGCCTTTCTTCCAAGGGGCCTCTGGGTGGACTCGAACCTCCAACCTTTTGATTGGCAGCTGAGTGTGTTAACCATTTATACCACCCAGGGACTCTTGCACTTGGTCCCCAAAACCCAAACATGTTGCCATCGAGTCTATTCCAAGTCATAGCAACCCTATAGGACAGAGTAGAATGGCCCCGTAGTGTTTCCAAGGTTGTAAATCTTTACAAAAGCAGACTGCCACATCTTTATCCCACAGCTATACTTGGTAGGCACTTTAAAAATATGATTATCTGTATTGTGTTAGTCTCAGGTCCTTAAAAATGAATCCCATCTCCATGAGGCTTACTTCTCTATGATTGGACAGAGAGATCCTAAAAGACCATTCTTTGAATGGCTGTAGTCTGCATCAGTTAGAACTCCTTCTGTTACAGGTGATAGAAAATCATACCCCATCTATCTTAAGCAATAAAGAAAATTTATTGACTCAAGTATCTTAAAATAATCCAGAAGTAGACTGGCTTCAATCCTGGTTAGTTTCAGGGCTTCCAAGAGTGTCACAAAGGCCATTTCTCTGTCCCACTTTCCTTAGGTTGACTCCCATGATAGCAAGGTGCTGCCCCAAGGTATGTCCTGCTTGGTTTATGTCCGGAGGAGAAGAAAGAGCAAGAGACTTCTCTCTGCAGGTGCCTGTCCTAAAAGTTCCATGATGGGCAGTCGCATGCGATGCCCAGGTTGACCTAGACCTGAAATCCACACAGACACACACTCCCATGTGTCCTGAGAGAGACAAAGGGATGGCTCTGTCAAGAACTGTGAAGTGTCTGAGATTTTATTCTACTTCAAGCTAACAAGCGAGCCTGCCACAGTTTCATGGATGCTGAGAGAAGACAAGAGATTCTGGGGTCAGAGACTACAGACTCTTACTCCTCACAGTGTAGCAAACAGCTGGAGCTTCATCTTCACCTCAGTTCCCCACGTCCAAGTCCCAGGGGGTGATGCAGAGGTGGGCTCAGGTGGATCCTATGCTTGTGTCAAAGCCAAGGGACCCGGCATAGGAAACTCCAATCTTTTATAAGCAAACCTGACCAACTTTTGTCTCAGAGGGAAACATTATCTTTATTAGATTGGATTGCAAACATACCTGCCCTTCTGCTCTGGAAGGGGATGCTATCTCTATCTTCCAAGGCTGTTTGCTACAAATGTCCTTGAAAAGATAAAACACTGTCAGTGCTTGCACTCAGAAGACAAGCAGAAATGTGAGAGATCCATGGAGAACTGTCTCCCAACAAGATCCTCTAGCAAAAGTCAGGAATGTTGTTGGAAGAAGGAGGGATTGTCGCAGGCAGACAGAGAATACATTTTTATTTCTCTGGGCATAATTATTTTTCATATAATAATAGTCAACATTTATTAAGTGATTACTGCATGCTAGGTACTGTTCTAATGTTTTAGATGTTTTAACTCAGTCCTCCATTAGTAACCTACTCTCTAGTAGATAATGAAGAGGTCCTATTGGTTTTAGAACTATATACATATATACACACACACATATATACATATATATACATA